AAAAAACATAAAATCATAAGACAAATATGTATATTTCACTATTCAGTGCTAATCAGAGCTGTAAACCCAGGTTGTAAATTGCATTAACTAAATCTTTAAACATTTATTCATCCACTTTTCCCTTAAATGTATGTATTTACAGCCCACCCAGCCTCTACTTTGTAGGCATTTCACATGGGTGGAGTGCTTCGCTGTTTCTGTTGACCCTGTCTTTTCAGTCAATCAAACAGCTTCACTGTCAGCTCCTGTCAGATGTTTCAGACAGTGATAGAAATGCCTTAACCTTACAGAAGAGATTGTCACCAGTTTAGGAGAATGTCAGTGTCTTATCCCACCTCTTAGTCTTTTCCACAGACAAAAGAAAGTTAGTTTACATTCTCACACAGTCTTTAAGTCAGTGGCATTTACCATACTTACATTACTAAGCTAATGCGAAAAAAGTTCATCTTACAGAGTAGTACATACTCACCATCTTCAGGTTGTCATTTCTGGGTCAGTTAAAAGTGGAGCCCACACCAGTTCAGATAATGAATAAGGCCATGGCTGCTACTCTGGTGTTGATAATGTTGCTATTAATGTAAAAAGGGAAACCCCACTCTTACTACCAGATAAAAGAGGCTGGTAGGAAGAGATCCACTCAAGGAGGAGCTTTAAGTGCATCTTGGGTTTTTCCCAGGTGACTTGCTGTCTTCCTTCTTCAAGTCTCTTGCATGCAACACCTAAAAGCTCTTGTTGGTCCATCTGCTACTTTTTTATCCCTCTTCATCGCTCCTTCTGCTATAGATTGATACTGCTGAATGACCGGGGGGTGGGGGGGTGAGCTGCTGCATAAAGGAGTTAAGGGGTTACAAAAAACCTTTCCATGATAACACACTACACATTGTCGCCCAGTGAAGACCCTGAAGAAGATATGCTCATTCGCAGCTGTGCTGCTTTTAGTCCCATATTTACATTATTACATTCATATATTTTTAGCCACTGTCACTTTAAACATACACACAGTTATGGAGTAGTAAGAGTTGCCGCCTCCGTTGAATATATAAACGTTTAAGAAAGTTGTAATATCGGATTATCTC